TTTTCTATGTCACACCGACTTTGCACTAACACACGTACAAAAATCCTGTGATTGGTTATAATAAAAACATGTCGGATGCGCAGTACGGATCGGCGCGAACGTGAAACAAAAGAGCGAGTGGGCATACTGGTGTGACATAGAAAAATTCGCAGTGTTGACGAATAACGCGTAAATACTTTTATACGTTGGAGCAAGTAATTACATTAATTACTTTTATTAGAACATTTTCTTTCGTAGGCCATTTCTATTTACAATAAATAATGTACGCCAGTTCGTATGCGCCTTTCCTGGATACGATCCTGAAAAGGGCCCAGGCACTTTTAGCCGTTGATACACTGTTGGATATAATAAAAACATGGCGGAAAATTGAGAACGCTCAGATCAAAGGTGCCGACAGAGAGTGGGCATACTGGTTATACTGTGCTGTGGCTGTCGTCCCGCGATTTTCTGCGTACATACACCGTTCCGCTCTATGAGTTTGTAGTCTAAGTTCACCAGTGCAGCAATAGAAAACGAGCATTATGATTGAACCAATCGGTGTCTACAAAGCAACTACCAATCCGACGAATCTACCATCACCCCAAACAGAATTCAAGAGTAAAATGACGGTTTGTCGCATGCAAGTGTACAGTACGGACGAGTGTGCGGGAGTGAATGTTGCTCTGATATTATATATCCGTCGTCTTTTTCTGTGATCGCTCGATTCGACGTTCACAGCGTTCTCGGCGATACACGAATTATTTGTGCTTCCTTTCAACGCAGGTCTTTTTAACTGATCTAACACGAGGTAAGTTTTTCCAACGTAGGCAGCCTGTAAACAACTCGCTTTAAACTCAAGATTATATTTAAGGAATTTTGAATTACATGTAAATTTCTGCAAGAGCATGAATAATTCTGCATTTTATACGCATAAGTGATAATACGAGTGATTAGTTCGTGTTCTTATGTACTAAGTCACACAGTGAACACGTGATGTGTTGCCTTTATTACGTTGACTATTAAAACTTGCATGTTTTTCCAAATGTAAAAGCGAGACATTCGGAAAAAAGATTCTTTTTCGTACATGCATATTTTGTACAGTATCTAAATGGTCTGTACAAACTTTTGGAATAAGTTCCAGGGACCTAAACAAGCAGAAGTAGAAATGTCCCATGAATATGGGGTCGGAAACGATTGCTTCTTGAATTATGTTTCGAAGCTCCCTACAATAGCTGGAGAAATTATCACGTGAAATCGCATAGGTGTTACAAAGCTTATTTTTTTACTTGGTTTTGCCACGGACATGAGAGGGCATAAAGAAAGTGCCTAAGAAATGAAGGTTAAAGGAAGGTTAAAGGAATCACGAGGGATACAGAACTCGCGCGCGTGTACTAGCTACGCTTACACTTGGCGCGAGACACTACCGTGTCTCGTGATAAGAGCTCTGTAAACAGTGCAGCATTCCGTTGGTTGAAAGTATCCTGCGTAGCGTATGCGTGGCAAAACCAAGGAAATGTAGTAAGGTCCCTGGAACTTATTCCAAAAGTTTGTACAGACCATTTAGATACACCCTGTATATATACATGTAAGTGGAATATTGGAAAGTATATAAGTACATTCTCTGTAGCAAGAAACATCGCAGTGAATATTCATGTGACTTCGTGACTATACTACGAGTCTATTGATGTCGTGACGCTTTTTGCCATAAAGGATATATGTATAATATGTGTAAATTAAGATTTTAAATACTTTGTGTACTTGCTAATTATTCTACAATAATCTGTAATGTTCTAAATACATCTATACTTGCATAAATTACATTACCAGAATTGGGGCTAAAGTGAGAAGATTTAGAAAATTATGAGTGTTAGGATTATTTTCATATATGAAACACATATGTATATATAATAAGTAGATAATTATACAATTATGTATTTATATATGTTTTAATTTAATACAGATGGAGAGAGAGACACTAGATTCGATTCGTCCATCAGAAAATGCACAAGAGGATATGTCCTACTTGTTTGGTAGAGATCCGAGTATCTTGGCATACAGCCAGAGGCCATTTCCCTCGAAGGATACAAAAAAGAATTTGATTTCACTGTATGAAGTAGAGGAAACTAGTTCTGCCAATGAAAATGTGTCTGAATGTTCAGAATCACAAACCATACAAACGGTCAAGGTGTATCTTAGACTCAAACCATTTCCGAAGAAACTAAAGTTAACAGAGGAGCAGCAAGAAGCTTACAAAATCACAAGCCTTACGACGTTACTCACCAAGTTGCCGCTACTGGATAATAACGCGAGTAAACAGATCAAGAGTACCGAGACTGTATGCCGAAAGTTTACGTTTTCTCAAACATTTGGGCCAGAAACGACTCAATTGGCATTATTTGAGCAAACGGTACAGCAGCAAATGATCGATTTCCTAGCTGGGCAAAATTGTACTATAATGACATATGGTAAGAAATATTCTGCAATATGAGGTACTTGAGGAAAAAAGAATGAAAAGCTTTCAGAATTTATATTTATTTAGATAAAATAATTTATAAACATCCCAAATGTTATATTTATTGAGATATTGAAAAATTTTTATCTCTACTTCTACTATAGATGTACACAATGTATTCTTATCCAAGATAGATTTTCACTCTTGGTTGCAAAGCACACATTTTTCCAAAAATTTTGAAATTTATATCTTCTAACAAGTTATCCTACAGTTATATAAATCTTGTAAACTGTTAATTGAAAAATATATCAAGCTCTTTAGATAATTTTGTATCCAAAAACTGCAATTTGAAACTTATAAAATTAACTAGCAAGCGCTATAAAATTGTCACAAGACGCTATATTACAAATTTTCTATAACTTTCTCAAAGAGCTTTAATTTCTCATCTTTTTATATTTAATGTCGATATGCTGATAATACAGATTTTGTGTACTATATTTTCAATATTATTTGCTCAATAGAACATTATTATTGTCAAAAATCTGTAGTATATAGAAACTCATGAACATACACATAAAGGAATGTTTAGTGATAGTAATGTAATTTTTTTTATTAGGTACTACAAATTCTGGCAAGTCTTATACCTTGCAAGGGACCGCTACTTCACCTGGACTTATACCACGAGCACTGGAATTTGTGTTTAACAATATTACAACAAGACCAAATCCCTTTTATAAACCTGTGCATTATAGCGACGTTGTCAATCTTGATGCACTTGAACGTGCACAAGAGCTTGAAGCAAAAACTAAATTGCTGACATTCAGTTCCGTAGATAAGCATCAGTACATAAATACCTACAAACAAATGCAAAAATTGTTGCAAGAGGAATCAATTCGCCCCAGTCAGTGTTATGATGCTCATTACTCAGTTTGGGTTTCATTTGCGGAAATCTACAATGAAATTGTATATGATTTATTGTCAAATGAATGCCAGAAAAAGAGGATACCTTTGAAATTAGGAACAGACTCTAATGGCAGAGCCTTTATAAAGAATTTAAAGACTATTCATGTTAACTCGGCGGCAGAAGCTTACCAGATCTTGATGGCGGGGCAATATAATTTAAAAGTAGCCGCAACTGCATTAAATGCAAAAAGCTCAAGATCTCATTGTATATTCACAATTATATTGTTAAAATATTATGCAGAAAGTTTACCAGATAGCGTTGAAGTGAGCACGTATGTATTTTTCTTCCCCTTTCTAATATTTTGTATTTATATATAATATAAATTGTATATATATATTTTTTTTTCTACTTATTTTCAAGTTTAACAATGTTTTTATTTGTTTTATATAATTATGAAAAAGAAACTAAGATTTATTACATTAATTTATCTGTATCATCAGAATCCTAATACTTGGGTATTTATATAGGTTTTCCTTTTGTGATCTGGCGGGCTCGGAACGTTTAAAGAAGACGTTGAATATCGGGGACAGATTGAGAGAAGCGCAAAATATTAACACTAGTTTACTAGTGTTAGGCAGGTGCTTAAAGTCCATCCATGAAGGACAATTGACAAGAACGAAGACTGATGCCGTGGGACCATTCCGAGAATCAAAATTAACCAGATTATTCCAACGAGCATTATCGGGGAAGGAACATCTCGCTTTAATAGTTAACGTCAATCCTCTGCCAAATTTGTATGTAGAAACCCAAAATGTTTTAAATTTTGCTGCTATCGCAAAAAGAATTATTATAGAAAGGAAGAAACAGACACAAAAGAAATCCAAATCAAGATTTTCCCAAATAGTCACGCAAAGTATACAAACTGTGACCGACTGGGAAAACACAGAAGTGGAAAGTGTGAATTGTATAAACAGTGTGGAAGAGAACTATTTAGAGTCCATTACTTCGGAAGAATATATGGATCTTGCAAATGAGAATGAAAGATTGAAAAAAGAGATTGCTCTTTTCAAGAATTCAGCTTTAATTCGAGACCTTCAAAGCCGACAGGAGATGGCCGAGAAATACATTGCGATGATAAACGAGCTGGAAGTCGATTGGAAACAGCGAATCAATGATGTCGAAACCCAACACGAAGACGCCCTCGAATGGACAGTGAAACAAGTTGAAGAATTTTACAAGGAAAAGTTGAATCATTTGTATAAGAAGCGAAAAAGACAAAGCGATTGCAATGATGATGATAACGTTGAAGATGATGACAATCTAAACTTAACTGTTAAAGAATTAATTGACGAAACTACAAAATTGAGACACAAGAATGAAACTTTGAAGAAATCATTAACTGACCTGAAAGTAACGAATGAAACCTTAATTGTAGAAAAGAATAAAGTTTCGTTTGAGTTGGGATTGTCAAAGGAGGATTTAAAACTTGCAAGAAGTCTTCTTGAAACTGCTCAAAATGATATCTGCTCTAATCAAGATGGTAAAATGTACTTGAAAGAAATGACATCTCAATTACTTGTTAAAGATGAACAAATCAAGAAGCTGAAAGAATTTCTCAATGAAGCGAAAGAAGAATATATTACAATTACATCTGACTTAAGAAAAAAAGAAATTCGCATTGACGAGCAAGCGAGAACGATAGTAGAACACGAAGAAAAAATTGATGATTTAGAATTACATTTGGAAGAAGTTAATGCTTGTTTAACTGAAAAAACGACATTAGTGGAGCTCTTAGAAGAAAGATTAGAGCCCCAAAACGAAAATAAGATGGAAGATAAGTTTCTACAATTACAAGAAGAAATAAATAAATTAAAGGATGAAAAATTAGCATTAATTAAATTTTATGAGAACAAACCGACCTCAAGTACGTCTATTCCAAATGAATATCAAGAGATTATTATAAAGGAAGAACTGATTACTGAGGCACTTCCTAAAAAGATATTAATTGATATAGGTTGTCAGGTGGATATAGGTTGTCAGGTGGATATAGGTTGTCAGGTGGATATTAATGATAAGGAGCATAACGATACTAATAACAAGTTGGAAAAACCTGAAGCTATTGTAGCAATAACCACGTCAGAAGATACGGACATATCAGACAAACCCGTTTCAGTGAAAAAAGAAGATAATAATATAAGTGTAAGTCAGTTGGATGAATATGCAGAAAAGATGTCGCAGTTGGAAGATAATCTGAAAACTATAGAGAAGCTAAAACATGACATCGATAAATTGAACGAAAACTTGGAAGCGTGTCAAGGAGAGAAGAATTGTATACAAAAAGCACTCGATGAGAATAATAAGAAATTGTTAGAATTTGAGAGTCAATTGGAGGAAACGACTTTCAAAGAACGGGAAAAAGATACTGAAATTGTAGCTCTGCAAAAGGAACTGAAACGTATGATACAGAAAAGCGAGAATGCCGAAAAGAACGACGATATGATGGAAGCGGAGTTGAAGAGTGCTATAAACGAGTTAACACAGACTAAAACAACGCTTTCCCAAAAGGAGCAGCATCTAAGAGAATTGGAAATACGTTTAGAAAATTTCGAGAGGAACGCCAAGCTACTTAATTTGCTGGAACAGAACGCGAAGGAGCGGCAGGTTGAAAATGAACGGTTACGAAATGTAAATGACGAGCTGAGAACAAACTTGACGCAGAAGGAACGTGAGATGGATGCGTTTATGAAGAATCGAGATGAGACCGTGACTAAGTACGAAGTTTTGGTTAAAAACCAGCAGGAAGAGTTGGACATGCAGAAACGGGAGGTGATGAGGTACCAGGAATTATTCCGTCGGCAATTGACGCCGACGCCGAATAAAGATGAATACAAGAAGTTGCAGGATCGCGTGGAACTACTCCAAGACAGATTGCGGAAGTATGAAGAGAACGCGAAGAGAGAGGCCAAAAATGTTTACGACAGCTCGTCGGAAGAGGAAGCTGCGGCACTGCGTCAAACGAAACGGCGGGGGAAGAAGGCCGGCTTACCTGCTAAGCAGGAAAACATACCAGTTATCGAATTGTCCGGGTCTGAATCGAAGCGGACCACGAGAAATACAACTTTGCCACCACCAGAGATGTCGACCGAGAAAAAACGCACTCGTAGAAAGAAGCTGTTTCACGGAGACGATTCGTTCGCGGATATTGAACCCACCGTCACGCCTTTGCCAACTCGAAATTTGAGGAATCGGAAGAAGTGAAAAAAAATACATTGG